TATTTTTGTGCAGTGACAATGTATATAATATAACTATAAAATAATCTAATAGGCTCTAAAAAGCAATTTAAAGAACAGATAAAGAATAAATTATAAAAGGCAGTTTAAAAGAAATACAGCAAAAGCATGAATGGGTAATGTAACTACAGCTTAAAAATATTTATTTAGGCTCCCACTGAAAGAATTGGCCTCTAAAATTCAAATAAAAAACCCTCAGGCATGAAAACATTTTCGGTAACATTAAAGACTTTACATTTAAAAGGCATCCCAAGAACTTGTTCTTTTTGAAAGGATGCAAGCATGGCTCCAGGAAGCACAGAGCAAAGGCTCCTAAAGGACATGACTGGAATATCTGCCTTGTCCCTAAAGCCTCCCAGCAGGGCCAGGCTGAGCTGTGCCCTGAGGACAGTGAGGACCCTGGGCCGTGGCAGGTGATGCTGCAGGGCTGCCTGGGGAAGGACACACCTGGGCAGGCCAGGCTCTGCAACACCTCCCATCCCCTGTGACAGAGGAGGGGACAGCACAGAAACAGGCACAGGAGCCAAGGGGAAAGAAAGGGGATCAGGAGAACAGGGGGAGAAAAGAGGAAAGGAAAGGGGATCAGAAGAGGAGGAGAAAAGGGGAAAGGAAAGGGGATCAGGACTCAAGGGGGAAAGGGGAAAGGAGAGGGGATCAGGAGGACACAAAGGAACAAAGGGAGAGGAAAGGGGATCAGGAGGACACGAGGAGCAAAGGGCAAAGAGAGAGAACAGACAAACACCCCGGTGCTGCTGCTGGCAGCAGGGAGGCCCCAGGCCAGGGCACAGGGCACAGCTGGGTGCCAGCTCACACAGTGCTCACAGTGCCCAGGGGCTCTGCAAAAGCTGCTCTTTGCTCCTCACTGCTGTAAAAACCCATGTGCCACAGTCCCCTCTGTGAGCTGCCCGTTAATGCCACCCCTTCCCTGGTGCCAAGGCATGAGTGCAGGGAGCAGCCCAGGAGCCCCTGGCATGGACACAGGCACCTCAGCACACACTGGGCTCATTTCTTCTCCCTGGCAGAGGGGACACTTCAGCAGAGGGCAGGAAGCCAAGCAGTGAACTCTGATCAACAGGCAGAGCCCTGAGCCAGGCATGCAGTGCAGCCCTGAGCAGGCAGCCCCAAAGCACTGAGTACCTCCTGCCTTTTCCTCTCCTCCTGGCTGATGGCTTCTGACAGGCCGTTCTTCTTCACCTAAAAAAACAAACCAATCGATACTTTTAATGCCTCTGTGCAAAATGTGATTCACAAGAGACACAGAGATCAAAACCCAGAGAGCAAAGCACCAAGGAGGGGCTGGCTCCACAGGACCCAGATCAGGAGGGACACCAGGACAAGAGCCACAGCAGCACCCACGGCCATGGAACAGCCTGTTCTCTTCATGGAGCACACACAAGACCTCTCACACATTTCTGCCAGTCTTCTCCAAAAGCTCCTAACATACCATCACCAACAGCTTTCCCTCCTTGCTCCACCTGCTCCCTGGAATTTTAAAGGATGTATTATTCCTCATTTTATTCCTGCACCCCAGGCCCCACAATGCTGGGGAGCAGGAATGAAGAGGAGCCACACTTTGGACTGCACACCAAAGTAGAGTCACAGGTAAATGCCTGTGAAAGTCACATCAACATCCCAGTGTGGGAGCCACTGGCCTTTGGAACACAAATCCCAGATTCCCACAGCACCACAAGCAGACACTTCAGGATGCTGAGTAAGAACTAATCAGATGCCTTTCTATTAAAGAATTAAAGCACATTTTAATCAGCAGCCTGAAAGCCTCAGAGCATGCCCAAGGAATAGCACTGAAAGGTGCAATGTCACTTTTTTCTGGATGCAGTGGAAGAGTTTTCTAGAAATAAAGCACCACAGGAAATACCTATGGACACATCCCCAGGTGTCAGAGCTCCCTGTGAACACAGACACTGCCAGGGAGCCCCTGCTGAGCTGCTGCTGCACACTGCACCTGTGGTCAGCGCTGTGACACACGGCTGTGTCCCCAGAGCACACATCAACTCCTGGGACATCAACTCACAGCAAGGGCCCAGCCTTACACTCCATCAACAGCAACACTCCCAAATGACACAGGCACACATATGGACACTACTTTGGCCATTTCTACTTTGGCCAAAGAAAATTCTATACCTAATTCTGACATGTCCAAAATGCTTAAGCTGAAATAACCTAAAAAATGTCACATGTGTGGCACTAAGCAAACAAAACTTCATTTAAGCTAAGAACATGACCAGGAGGAATGGAAGAGGCCCAACATCACTGCTACTGTCATCACACTGGGCTGCTTTTCCCCAGCAGTGACCGAGTCAAGCATGGAGGTGAGAAGCAAAGGAAGAAAGGAGGACAGGTGAGCTCTGGTTAGGGACAAAAAGTTCCTTCAAAACAAGGAGGTGCTGAAAGGGGGGAACTCAGAAACCTGCTAAGTGACTGCACCATACCCAAAGTGACCACAAACCCTTGGATACAGGGAGAGAAAAGGGAGCCAGGGCAGCCACCAAAGGGCCTGGACACTCACACCAGGGCTGGGAG